GAGAAGGGCGGCATATAAATCAAATTTTTTAAAAAAAGGTTTCCACAATTTTGGCCACTACTGTGTATAGGAAAAGTGGTGGGGATGGGGGGGCAGAGAGATTAGGAGATTCCCACAACTCTGATCTGCTAGGTTGGGGAATCTGGAAAACTGACAGATTCCTCTCACACACATCGGGACTTGCAGGATAGAGCATTTACTCTCTCGGTCAAAATGGACGTGTGTAACCTCAGGGCATCTGCCTGGACTCTAGCAGGACTCCGGGGATAGGGGGCAATACTAAATCACCCACACCTCTTGCAAACCAGCGAGCCAAGAGGACTGGGATCTCTCCTGCTGCTTGCTTAGAGGTTTCCACTTTAGAAACGGCAGGTGAGACCCTGCCCTTCAAAGGAAATGGGGCTTTAAGGCATGTGGGGGGTCATCTCCCCCACCCCGAGGGCAGCGAGGAAGGGGCAAAAGAAAAACAGAAGAAACATAGTGTGTTTGGGATGCCATGAAGTGGGCACTCCTTACACGCGGTGAGTGGAGATGCATAAGCTTGGAACCAAGGCAGACAAATAGTGTTTTCAAGCTGGGCACCTTTAAGATGGGTGGACTTCAACTCCCAGAATTCCCCAGCCAGCAAGGAATTCTGGGAGTTGAAGTCCATCCAAGGTGACCAATCAATTCTGGGAGTTGAATTCTGGGAGTTGAAGAAGATTTGTTGATTTGTGAAGCGAGTTTCGCCTCGTTTTACCACCTTTCTTGCCCCGGTTATTAAGTGAATCATTTCACAGTTGTTAAATGAGTAACCCGGTTGTTAAGCGAATCCGGCTTCCCTATTGACTTTGCCTGTCAGAAGGTCGCAAAAGGCGATCCCAGGACCTGGCAAACGGTCATAAGTGTGGATCAGTTGCCAAGCCGCTGAAATTTGATCAAACGATGGTGGAGGTGCTGCAAAAGTCATAACTGTGGAAAAGCGGTTGTCGCTTCTTTTTTCACTATTGTCATCACTTTTAATTTAATTTAATTTAATTATTTGATTTAATTTAATTTAATTTAATTTAATTTAATTTAATTTAATATTTAAATTTATATACTGCCCTTCTCCCGAAGGACTGCAGGGCGGTGAACAGCCAGAAGTAAAAAAAACATAAAATACAAAATATAAAAACAATTTAAAAATGAATTAAACAATTTGGCCCGACAGTTAAAATCCCCCATTAAAAATCCAAATTAAAATACACAATTGGAGAGATTAGGCCCAGCCCAACTTTGAACGGTCGTTAAATGGAGCTGTTGTAAATCGAGGAACTACCAGTGTACTGCTCCCATTTTAAAAATTCTATCCGGAATCCTTCCTTTTCCCTCTGTCGTCCCGCATCAAAGAGTCTTGCGCAGCTTCATTTCCTGCAAAGAAAGAAAGACGCATAGGATTTGAAAGGGCTAATTTTATTTTATTTTTTTCTTTCCCAGCCCCTCCATTCCCTATTTTTTCTTTTTTTTTCGCCAGTCCTGGGAGCAAATGAATTATTTCCTTGCAAGGGAAGGGAAGGGAAATCCACTTGGGTTTCACCGGATCCATCCCAGCCTGCTCGGAGGAGAAACCCACCGTCTCCTGTCAAGAGGGTCAACTCATCTCCTGCAGCCAGCACTCGAGGGGAGGTTTTGCCTCGTTCCGGCTTCCTGACATGGATGAATTATTGCTTTGAGGTTTCCTTTCCTGTCTGCGTCTTTGCCGGAGGAGAAATTTCGGTCTCTCCTCTCCTCTCCCTTCTCACCTCAGTCCTCTCGGCTTCTCTCCTCCAGCCCCGTGAGGTGAGGCGAGAAGGCAGCGAGCCAAGGAAAACAGAAAATACTTGGGCTTTCCTTCTGCTAAGAGGCATGGCTAGTCTAGGGAAGAGAAGGACCAAGGGAGACAGGATAGCAGCCTTCCAATATTTGAGGGGCTGCCCCAGAGAGGAGGAAGGGGGTCAAGCTATTTTCCAAAGCAGGCAAGGAATAATTGGATGGAAACAACTGGCCTCCAGAAGTTGCAAATACTCCAACACTGGAAGTTTTTAAGAAGATATTTGGAGAACGATTGGTCTGAAGTGGTTTAGGGTTTCCTGCCTAAGCAGGGGGTTGGACTAGAAGACCTCCAAGGTCCCTTCCAACTCTGTTATTCTATTCTATTCTAACTGATCAAGGAGAGATTCAAGCTGGAAACAAGGAGGAATTTCCTGACAGTGAGAACCATCAAGCGGTGGAACAGAAGTTGCCTTTGGAGGTTGTGGGAGCTTCATCACTGGAGGCTTTCAAGAAGAGACCGGACTGCCATCTGTCAGAAATGGTGTAGGGTCTTCCTGCTTGGGCAGGGGGTTGGACTAGATGACCTACAAGGTCCCTTCCAACTATGTTAATCTGAATCTATCTAAGATGATCAAAGCAGGCCTGGACTAAATGGTACAATGAACGGTTGCAGGAACTGGGCCTGGCTAGTCTAGTGAAGAGAAGGACCAGGGGAGACAGGAGAGCATCTTCCAATATTTGAGGGGCTGCCACAGAGAGGAGGAAGGGGGTCAAGCTATTCTCCAAAGCACCTGAAGGCCAGACAAGGAATAATGGATGGAAACTGAACAAGGAGAGATTCAACCTGGAAATAAGGAGGAATTTTCTGACAGTGAGAACAATCAACCCATGGAACAGAAGTTGCCTTCGGAAGTTGTGGGAGCTTCATCACTGGAGGCTTTCAAGAAGAGACCGGACAGCCATCTGTCAGAAACGGTATAGGGTCTCCTGGTTAGGCAGGGGGTTGGACTAGATGACCTCCAAGGTCCCTTCCAACTCTGTTAATCTTCTCTATCTATCCAACTGAAACAAGGGACGCTGCCACACGGTCAAATTGGGGGGCCAATAAGGTTGGGGATGGCCTGGAGGAAATCAGCCGGCTGAGAATGCCAAGGTAGAATTTAGATAGCGGGAAGGAAGAAGGTATGAATGAAAGAGAGAAGGAGATGTGGGTTGGGCCTCATCCTATGGGTTAAACTGGAGATCCCGCCAGGAAATGACAGATCCCAGCAGGTGACAAGACGGGCAGCTAATAAATTTTGCTAATAAATATGCTTCTTGAGTATATATGGGATGTTGGAATATATATGTACTTTTAAAAAGTATTACTGTATAAAATCACAATCTGAATCTGTTGTTAAGCCAGGGGTGGGCAACTGTGGCCCTTTTACAAGCTGTGGACTTCAACTCCCAGAATTGGCTGTCTCAGGAATTCTGGGAGTTGAAGTCCACAGATTGTAAAAGGGCCACAGTTGCCCACCCCTGTTGTTAAACGAATCTTCCTTGGCAGAAGGTTGCAAAATGTGATCACATGACCCTGGACCCTGCAACCGTCATAAATACAAGCCAGTTGCCAAGCACCGGAATTTTGATCACATGACCACCGGGGATGCCGCAAGGATCCCAAGTGTGAAAAAGGATCCGTCACATTTCTTCAGTTCAGGTAGTCCTCGATTTATGGCCACCTCTGAGCCCAAATTTCTGTTCTTAAAGGAGACATTTGTTAAGTGAATTTTGTCTCGTTTTACGACATTTCATGCCATTGCTGTTAAGTGAATAACTGCAGCTGATATGTTAGTCGCGTGGTTGTTAAGTGAATCTGGCTTTCCCCATTGACTTTGCTTGTCAGAAGATCGCAAAAGGGGAATCATGTGACCCCAGGGACACTGCAACCGTCATAAATGTGAGTCAGTGGCTAAACATCTGAATTTTTGACCACGTGAGCATGGGGATGCTGCAACGGTCTTGAGTGTGAAAAAACAGGTCCTAAGGGACTCGTTTCAGGGCCGTTGCAACTTCAAACGGTCACTAAACGAGCTGTGGTACCTCGAGGTCTTCTTGTACTGTTGCAATTTCGAATGGTCACTCAATGAGTGGTTGTAAATCGAGGACCACCTGTGTTTTTATTCTGTGATTGATTATCCTTGGCTGGCCCTGCAAAGCTAGCTTTCTCCAGAAGGACCAGAGGAGACAAGAGAGCAGACTTCCAATATTGGAGGGGCTGCCCCAGAGAGGAGGGGATCAAACTATCTTCCAAGGCACCTGAAGGCCAGACAAGGAAGAATGGATGGAAACTGATCAAGGAGAGATTCAACCTGGAAATAAGGAGAAATTTATTGAAGAAATTGAAGTTGCCTTCAGAAGTTGTAGGAGCTCCATCACTTGAAATGAGATAATGAATTGATGTTACTGTAAGAAATTAGGAATTAAGGGTGGATAGTGATACTGTTTATGTATTAAGAAGAGATTAAGATAAGATGTTGATAGTCAATCAAGTTAAAGGGTTTTAATGCAAGAATGGAAAATGAGGATATATTTTGTGTACAGTTAAAAAAGGGGGGGATATTGAGAAATATATTCAGCAAATGGAGAAATAAGATAATAAATTGAGGAGAAGGAGAAGAATAAGGAGAAGGAGAGGAGAAGGAGAAGGAGAGGAGAAGGAGAAGAAGGAGGAGGAGGAGCAGGAGGAAGAGGAGGAGGAGGAGGAGGAGAAGTTGTGGGAGCTTCATCACTGGAGGCTTTCAAGAAGAGACTCTGTCAGAAATGGTGTAGGGTCTCCTGCTTTGGGGGGGAGGGCGGGAAAGTTGGACTAGATGACCTCCAAGGTCCCTCCCATCTCTCTTAATCTCTATCTATCCCCGCGGGGCGTCCCGTCCCGACCGCCTTGCCTGTCAAAAGCGACCCGCCACGTGCGCCGCCCCGAGCTCGGCTCGCGACTTCTGCAAAACTCCCAAGGTTTCAATTTCGGAGCCCCGAGCACCGGCGCCTTCCTAATTGGCCAGCCCGGGAAGATGCCGGAGCTGTGGATTGGTCGGTTTGGGATTCTGGGCGGAGTCGGGAGCTCCGCCCACCGCTTTAAAATACCTGCCGGAGCTGTGGATTGGGCGGTTTGGGATTCTGGGCGGAGTCGGGAGCTCCGCCCACCGCTTTAAATACCGAGGGCAGTCCGCGGATTCCCCGCACAGCTGGGCAGCATCGCTCCGCTCCGGTGCTGCGTCCGCTCTTGGACGGGGCGGCGGGGTGGGTGGGCGGCTTCCGTCCAGCCATGGCTTTCACCGTGCTGGGCCACGTGCTGTACCCGGAGCTGAGCTTGCTGCCGTCGGAGGAGGACGAGGAGGAGGAGGAGGAGGAGAACCGGAGCGAGAGCGACGCGTCGGATCGCTCGTACGGCTGCTGCGCCGGCCGTCGCCAGAGCGGCCGGCCGGTCGTAGTGGTGAAACAACGGCAGGCGGCCAACGCCCGCGAGCGGGACCGGACCCAGAGCGTCAACACGGCTTTCACCGCCCTGCGCACCCTCATCCCCACCGAGCCCGTGGATCGCAAGCTCTCCAAGATCGAGACGCTCCGCCTGGCTTCCAGCTACATCTCGCACCTGGCCAACGTGCTGCTCCTGGGCGAAGGGTGCCAGGACGGGCAGCCGTGCTTCCGAGCTCTCTGCGGGGCCAAGGGCGAAGGGGGACCCCCGGCGCCGCCGCGGAGCATCTGCACCTTCTGCCTGAGCAACCAGCGCAAGCGGGTGAGTGGCGCGGCTCTTGGGCGATGCTCTGGTGGGATGCCTCTGGGGATGCTCGGGCTTGCCTCAGGAGGAGGGGATTTGTTTTATTTTATTTTATTTTATTTTATTTATTTTACTTTATTTTATTGTTTTATTGTTTTGTTTTATTTTATTTTATTATTTTATTTTATTCTATTCTATTCTATTCTATTTTTTTATTTTATTTTATTTTATTTTATTATTTTTGCTTTAATTTATATGCCGCCCTTCTCCGGAGACTTAATTACATTCGGGTTTGCTCTTCTACCTTTTCTTTTCCCTCGTTTCACAAGCCTTCTCCTTTTTCTTTCCCTTCCCTCCCTCCTCTCCTCTCCTACTTTCTCCCTCTTCCTCTCCTTCTTCTTCCTACATTTATTTATTTATTTTATTTATTGGTTCGATTTATATGCCGCCCTTTTCCAGAGACTCAGGGCGGCTTACAATGCTTTAAGCAATAGCCTTCATACTTTTGTATATTTATACAAAGTCAGCTTATTGCCCCCACAAACTGGGCCTCAATTTACCTACCTTAGAAAGGATGGAAGGCTGAGTCAACCTTTTTTTTTTTTAAATTTGATTTATATGCCGCCCTTCTCCGGAGACTCAGGGCGGCTTACAATGCGCTAAGCAATAGCCTTCATCCTTTTGTATATTTATACAAAGTCAGCTTATTGCCCCCACAAACTGGGTCCTCATTTTACCTACCTTAGAAAGGATGGAAGGCTGAGTCAACCTTGAGCCTGGGGAGATTTGAACTCGCAGTAATTGCAGGCAGCTGATATTAATAACTGTTAATAACAGTGCTTTAGTCTGCTGAGCTACCTGGCTCAGTAACTTTTGAAAAAACTTTTGAAAAAAGTTTTTCATTTTGATTTCTTATACACATAATATAAATGTACATTCTCCTATATATTGGTCATACATATACATATTTTTCTTAAAGAAAAGTATAAAAATAAGGCATTTTAATTACATTCGGGTTTGCTCTTCTACCTTTTCTTTTCCCTCGTTTCACAACAAGCCTTCTCCTTTTTCTTTCCCTTCCCTCCCTCCTCTCCTCTCCTACTTTCTCCCTCTTCCTCTCCTTCTTCTTCCTACATTTATTTATTTATTTTATTTATTGGTTCGATTTATATGCCGCCCTTTTTCCAGAGACTCAGGGCGGCTTACAATGCTTTAAGCAATAGCCTTCATCCTTTTGTATATTTATACAAAGTCAGTTTATTGCCCCCACAAACTGGGTCCTCATTTAACCTACCTTAGAAAGGATGGAAGGCTGAGTCAACCTTGAGCCTGGTGAGATTCGAACTTACTAATTGCAGACAGCTGGAGTTAAATTACAATGCTTTCAGTCTGCTGAGCTATCCAGGCTATTTACGGCTTGCTTATGCCATGCCTTGAGCCTGGTGAGATTTGAACTTGCAGTAATTGCAAGCAGCAGATGTTAATAACAGTGCTTTAGTCCACTGTTGCTACCAAGGCTCTTTTATTTCCCGACACGACAGCCCTGCGAGGGGAGGAGGAGGAGGGCCTCTGGAAGAGAGGAACGGGCTCTGAGCTGCCCCCTCCCCACTCTTGGTGGGATTTGAACCTGGGTCTTTTTAGAGTTCTAGTTCTGGACGCCTAGCCCTTAGATTTTACAGAGGTCTTCAAACTTGGCAGCTTTAAGACTTGTGGACTTCAACTCCCAGAATTCTCCAGGCTGGAGAATTCTGGGAGTTGAAGTTCACAAGTCTTAAAGCTGCCAAGTTTGGGGACCCCTTGCCTTAGAATAAGCCCCCCCACACACACACCCAGGTTGCCAATTTTGTCGTTCTCTGCTTTCTTCTCTGTCTCGGGTTTTCTTCCCTCCAGCCTCCTTTCTTTTGCTATCACTCTCCCTTTTTTCTCCCCCTTTTTTCCTGTCTCTATTTCTCCTCCATCCTTCCCTTTTCTCATTTTCCTACCTTCTCTTCTTTTTTCCTCCCTCCCTCCCACTCTCTCTTTCTTTTTCTCTGTCTCTATTTCTCCACCCTCCCTTCCTCTTTCTCTCTTTTTGTTTTTATTTTTCTTTCCCCCTTTTCTCTGTCTCTAGTTGTCTTCCCTACCTCCTTTCTTTCATTGTCTCTCACTCTCTTTCTTTTTTCTCTCTCCCTTTTTCTGTCTCTATTTCTCCTCCATCCTTCCCTTCTCTCATTTTCCTTCCTTCCTCTCTTCCTCCCTCCCTCCCTCCTACTCTCTCTTTGTCTCTATTTCTCCACCCTCTCTTCCTCTCTCTTTTTGTTTTTTATTTTTCTCCCTCCCTTTTTTCGCTGTCTCTAGTTGTCCTCCTCCTTCTCTTTCATTCTCTCTCTCACATTTTCTTTTTTCTCTCTCACTTTTTTCTGTCTCTATTTCTCCTCCATCCTTCCCTTTTCTCATCTTCCTTCCTTCCTTCCTTCCTTCCTTCCTTCCTTCCTTCCTTCCTTCCTTCCTTCCTTCCTTCCCAGTCAACAGGCTATAGGTGCCTGGGACTAAAAGGCATGCAAAGAACTTTGCAAGGAGGAGAGAAACAAAAATCTATAACATCTCACTGACTGTAACTAACCATAATAACAAACAAGCTTAAGTCCTTATTTTGCTTCTGCTTCTTTGGCCTTCTGACCCTGAATTTACTCGCTTGGGCACAGCCTAAAATGGATTAGTAGAAGTGAGAATTAATGGAGAGGAAAATGGGCCATGTACAGAAGGTGGGTTTCCTATTGTTCAGCCATGGATAGAAAAATGCCACCAAAGAGCCTTGGTGGCGCAGCAGACTAAAGCACTGTTAAGTAACACCAGCTGCCTGCAATTACTGCGAGTTCAAATCTCACCAGGCTCACGGTTGACTCAGCCTTCCATCCTTCCCAGGTAGGTAAAATGAGGACCCGGATTGTGGGGGCAATAAGATGACTTTGTATAAAAAAGAACACCGCTTGGGGGGGGGGCAAAAGCCCTACTAAGCAGGTATATACAAAAGTATGAAGGCTATTGCTTAATGCATTGTAAGCCCCCCTGAGTCTCCGGAGAAGGGCGGCATATAAATCGAACCAATAAATAAATAAATAAAAATTTATTTGACTTTATTGGCCTCCCCATTCCAATGGATACTGGGCAGCCGGCAGAAGCGCAAAATCCATAAAAGCAGATACAACATCAAACCAAACGGGCAGCTCAGAATAAAATAACCTTATACTGTGGACCACCAAGAAGACATAATACAACAGGCCCCTAAAAGGGCAATAATGCAACAACTCCAGGCCGTCATCTGCTAAACTCAGATTAGGAGCGGCTGGCAGCGATCACACAGCCTCCTTAACTAGGTTGCAGATCCGGCGTGCACAAAGTTTTAAGTCTCTAGTTGGCATCATCTTTGGTATGCTGTGCAAACCCCTTTATTTGGCTGGATGGTGGCCAACGTAGTATGCAATAATAATAATAATAATAATAATAATAATAATAATAATAATAATAATTTTATTTCTATACCGCCCTTCTCCCGAAGGACTCAGGGCGGTGTACAGCCTATTTAAAAACACAGAAACAAAACAACAGTTAAAATTTAAAATCATTAAATAATTAGGCTGGGGAATCCTGGGGAATCTTATAATTCAGTATTTAAATAATGCTCCCGTGTGTCATTTTCAAAGGCAGTGTTCCTTTGCCAATGTCCATGGAGATTCTCAGTCCTTCAAGTCACAGTTGTCCCAAAGGTGCTTTTTCAAAAGGCAACTGGACTTCCCGGTTTTTCTTTGAAGGTTTTTCGCTTCTCATCCAAGAAGCTTCTTCAGGCCCAGAACTGAAGAAGCTTCTTGGATGAGAAGCGAAACGTCTTCAAAGAAAAACCGGGAAGTCCAGTTGCCTCTTGAAAAAAATCACCTTTGGGTCCTTTGCCAACGAGAAATCAAACCTTGTTTGTTCAGCGTAATCCATGCCTCCTTGTAAACTGGTATTTCTCAACCTTGATTACTTTCATGATGCGTGGGCTCCCACTCCCAGAATTTCAAGAAGAGACTGGACTGCCATCTATCAGAAATGGTGTAGGATCTCCAGCTTGGGCGGGGGGTTGGACTAGATGACCTACAAGGTCCCTTCCAACAATGTTATTCTGTTAATTCTGTTCATTCCTTAGTCTCTCTGTAAACCAGTGTTTCTCAAACTTGGCCACTATTTAAGATGGGTGGACTTCAACTCCCAGAATTCCCCTGCCTCTTTGTAAACCAGCATTTCTCAAACATGGCCACTTTTTAAGATGGGTGGACTTCAACTCCCAGAATTCCCCTGCCTCTTTGTAAACCAGCATTTCTCAAACATGGCCACTTTTAAGATGGGTGGACTTCAACTCCCAGAATTCCCTAGCCAGACACTTGTCTAAACCCTGCCCCTCTTATGGCTTTGGCAAAACAGGGAATTAAATAGGATTTTTAAAGGATGTTTGTTTGTGTTTTATTTTCATAGTTATAATATACACTGAAGATGGCATTTAATTTCGTTGTACGAGGTGCAATGACGATAAAGTAAACTAAACTTAAACTAAATAGGGGGTGCAACTCACACAACCAAGGATAAAACTCTATTTTCTGTAACGAGCAGTGAACAGCAATATTGATGGTTTTTTTTAAAAAAAAAAAACTACAACTTTCTCACTGGGTGTATAGCCTATAGTGGCCTGGGATGACTCCTGGACACCACAATCTTGAATTATGCGTTATTATGTCCCAAATTTCTGAAAAGACAATAAATTAGAAGTGGTTGCTAAAATAATTCACACTCATATTTCTTTTTTTGGTAGATAGGAGTGTGTGGCTGGAACGTTGATTAAATCCCTGTTTAGTAATTCTGTTTTCGTTTTTTTAGATGCATCCTCGCCTGCCAAATATTTTAGTCTATACAGCCCTGACCGAAATTGGGATGCAAATTCCATTCCCACATGCCAAACAAAGGAAGGGTTGGGTGGATCCTATGTGGGTGTAGGAAGAGGTAGA